CCAGGGCAAAGATGAAGCCCGTTCAGATAGAGAGAGTTGTGGGAGCTGTTTGATAACAGCGAAAGGACCACGGTGGACTCTCAGTTCCCACTTCATCTGTGGCAGGGTCCACACTGCCTGTCTGGGGTTGGCTCATGGGGTGAGGAAACAGATGCTGTCTGCAGGCTGCCCTGAGCGAGCTCCAGGAAGCTGCTCGCGGGCTTGGCAGGCCCGCCTCTCCCACAGTGGGGGCTTGGCCAGCTCTCTTCCCTCTAACCTGCCCTGCACCAGGACAGCCTGGGCCAACTAAGGCCAGCTCCAGGGGCCGCGGAAGACCTGGCCTGGAATCCTTCCCGCCTCTCCAGCTGCAGTTCAACGAAACCCCAGATTGCCTGGGAAGAAGGCAGTGCACATCCCTGGCAAGCCCACGAAGCTTCCATGCCCAGGCAAGAACGCCGAGAACCCTGACACCACATCTGTGTGCCACGGAACCAGCCCCAACTTGCTCACGTTCTGACCTCTGGAACTTGAGATTGAAAGGGCGAGCCTTCCAAAAGTGAGATGACAAGGCTCTTGATTCTCTGACGAACAGCATTCTTTCCTCGATGTCTACTTGTGATTATGCAAATTATACATTTAAAGGTAATTAATCCTTAACTCCTGGAACCTGACCCAACCTGGATCCATCCATAAACACATTACGTAGTTAAGAGGCATTTAAATGGAGACAACTGAGTCCTTGCTTTTACTAAAAAGTGTTGCTTTTTATAGAAAATTAGGTATAGGCTATGTTATAATAAAGTGGAATTAAACATTTTCAACAATGTTTTCCTTTGGACTCCTGTAATTTTCCCCTGTTCTTTCTAAATACAAGTCCATTAACTTTCTCCTCCTAAAATGCTACGTATGGGCAGGGCTGTCTCCAATACTCGAGCAGCCCGGGGTGAAAGAAGACCCCTGGCCTGAGACGCCCCCTCTCAGCCCTGACTCCAGCGTTACCAGTGGAAATCCCAGCTCACGCCTTCAGATCCTTTTTGCACAGCTGCCCTTTGGCCTTCTCTTGGCCCCAGGGGTAAATCCACCCATGACATGACTGGTCCCCAGGAGAACAGATGGGAAAAAGGCCTGTGCAGACTTAGGCAGTTGAGTCGGGAATTCCAGGGTCCCCACATTTTGGTTTCACCAGGAACCCTGAGCAAGAGTGGGGTGTGGGCTTTGGGTGAGCACATCCCTTTGGAAGCCCCAAATCCCGGTGTTTTGGGGAGGAGCACAACCAGGGAGCACCGTAACACGGCCTGGACAGCACAGGGTTCAGGACAGGGATGCAGGCTGCCCTATTCTAAGAGTGGTGCTGTATACTAGTATATATACAGTATCTCTACAAAATATATATAGCACATTTTACAGAGTGAATACATGTCCCGCCAAACCACTGTCACAGGTTTCAAGGTTCTGGACGACAAGAACTAGATAGAGAACATTTTCTTTGTCTAGCACCTAGTTTATGTAGGCAGAGATGCCGCTTGAGGTTATGGTACAAGTACTAGTATGCCAACTGCTTGCTGAAATCTTCAAAGAGGACCAGGGAATATTTATTTGGAAGTCTTTGTATGAGCAAAGGTTGTGTGATGCTGTCAAAAAGCACAGATGTCAAAAACAAATCTCACCAACAAAGATTCAGACAGAAGTTTGGCGGTTCCTAAATCACTCTCTTGCATATGTCCCGGCTCTCCCTCCTGAGAGCCCGGCTCACCTGCACCTGGTAACACTCTGTACTTCCTGTCCCCGAAGCCTTCCTCCAGCGTTCAGGCCAAGTTCATGTCCCCAAGGCTCCCACAGCTCCACCCACAGCCTGACCACCTGCGACTGCTTCGTGGGCATTAGCCTCCCCACTGAGCGGGTGCGCCCTGAGGTCTGGCACTGTGTCTATCAACCACAGGCTTCCCACGGCTCATCCCAGGACTTGGCACAGGCTGAATCCCCACCACAGGCCTCTTGCCTGCTCACCAGCAGCAATAAGGATTCCAAGCCAATGCAGTTTGGAGTTGCTGCTCTTCACTACCAGGGATTCTAACTACTTCCAGGTTTAAGCAAAATACCACTTTAACTCCTGGAAGAGGGAGATGAAAATAAATCAAACACCTGACTGTGTAGCGTGACAGACGTGGAGGCCATTGGGGGCACATGTGAATATCATATGCATGTACTCTGAGGTGTTTAAATGTCATTCATTTGTAAAGGTGACCTCAGGTTCTGTGCCTGTCGAAGGGAAGCGTTTGTTAAAAAGACAGCAGTCACACTTTTTCAGAAAAACTTCATATGCACACACACGTTATCATTTTACCTATAGATCTCAAAATCTTACTCTTACTGAAATTGGGTTGAGGGTGCTAGGAACATCTATCAGAAACTGTCTGTACTTATTGGAAAGGCGGCACACTGTATCTATGCAGCAGATGGATTACTTCAAGGAAATGGAATGTTATGGAAAAGTAATTGTCTTGACATGAATCTGTAGGTCATTTCTACCTGCAACCGAGGACTGCTGGTAGAATATTAGCAAAGACAGCCACAACATTAAAAGATACTCAATGTCTGCAGGGGTCTGATACTTCTTAAATCTTACTTAGAAGCATCTAGAAAGAAAAGACACCCCCCCGGGGGGAGGGGGTGAGTGATGGTGGCCCTCAGAGGGAACGCTGCCTGCTGCCCTCACTCTCTCCACAAGTTTACTGTGAAGAGTCAGGAGAAGAGGCTTATGCAAAGGGGTAGGTAGGGTCTCATTTCTGCTTCTCCCTCTTCCACGTTACACCTCTCTCAGCTTCCAACCTCTTTCCTGCTCAGAATGCTCTTTGTGTGCCCTGAGGCCGTGGCCTCAAAGCAGATGCTGCCACAGTTCCATCCCAGGAAGTTCCCAGGATTCACTTTGAAAGCCAGCAGCTTCTTCATATCTTTCCTCTGAAACACTGGGGTAACCTCTGTTGCGAGCAAGAAGGTCCTCCCACCAGCTTCCGAGGCCCAGGTCACGGCAGCGTGGGTCACACTGTGTGAGCTTGGGTCTCACCCTCTGCGGCAGCCATCCTGTTAATAAAAGCCTATGTGGGCACGATGCCCTCAGGCCTTAATGAGTGATCACCAGGAGGCTGTGTGCATGGGTTGGCGGGGGCTTGATGCTGTGTGCAGGGCGTGGAGGCGAGTCCCGCTGCTCCGGTCTACCTCTTCAGGGCAATCCATCGAGGAGCCCCGGATGGGTGGATAGGGCCTACCTCTTTGGGGCCATCGATCACAGGGTTCCCACACTGTGAGAGGGCACAAGCCAGGCTGGGGGACCCCCCCTCCAGTGCACAAATTTCATGCACCAGGCCTCTAGTACCTTCATAAAGAGGATGGGAGTAAAAAACTACATGGGTTTCAGAAGATTCTCACAATGAGAACTGAAAAACCAAACTACCTGGGAAACTTCATCTTTCATCTTTTTTGTTTATTGATTTTTTACAGAGAGGAAGGGAGAGGGATAGAGAGTTAGAAACATCGATGAGAGAGAAACATCAATTAGCTGCTTCCTGCACACCTCCCACTGGGGATTTGCCCGCAACCAAGGTACATGCCCTTGACTGGTATCGAACCTGGCTCCATCCACTGAACCAAGCCAGTCAGGGCCATCTTTCATCTTAATGACAGATATTTGGTCCTCCAAGTTCATCCTCTAGCTGAACTCAAAGCAAATTCCAAGCAAACTTGGTGTGCTCATTCGTTGTGCCTTGAAGGGGCATTTCACTGCCTACCTTCAGTTCTGCAACACCCAGCACCCTGGAGCCCAGGTCCCTGACCACGCTGCCAGTGATCTATGTCATCTTTGCTTAAATTCTGAACTTGTCGCTCTCACTTACCTATGAATTGGTAAATGAGGTAATTAATAATTGTCAAACACTGGGATTATTAAAACTTATCTGCATCCCAGCAGCTTTCTCATAGATTGCTTTGTATTATCATCGAGCCTTTCCGTGCCTTGCCCTTCCCACTAGATTGTCAGCCACTTGAGCGGGAGATCTGTCTCTTCCTTTAACTGTACAGAGCATGTCCTTAAAATCACATTCTCTGAACACTTTGGGGTGGAGGGGAGGCGGGGCCTTTATTTTTAGCCGGATAATTTGCATGAACAAATAGTAATTAACAGCTCTTCCTTGCCCATTCTTATTCTCAGCAGGGGCTGCCTCAAAGGAGCCTTTGATAAACCTCCCTTCTCTACTGATAATAAATGATGAGGCTTCCCCAACTGAGCCAGGCCTGAGAGCTAGGACGTGATCACTGCAAGCCCAGGCATCAGCAGAGGGGGCACCCCCCCTCCCCCAAGGTAGCTGCTAGTTAGTTACCCAAGGGCCTGGGAAGGTATAAATATGGTTATTCCTGCCTGGGAAGGTTATAATAGTAGTATAGATGCACACGTGCAAAGCCTCCCCTAGGGAAGGAACTTAATGGGACTAAATCGCCAAAATCTGACAGAGACCCTTTCAAGGTGGTAGAACCAGCTCTGAGATGTCTCCATGCTCTTGCCCACAGCAGGACCTCTAGTTCAGATCCCTAACGGGGGCGGTGCCTCTCCCCGGCTTCCAGGAGCGCGATGCCCCAAACCCAAACACGCTGCAGGTCAGAGTGGGTGCACCTAGCCTCTTCTGACAGTGGCCTGCGGACAGCTCTTTGCAGACAACCTCCTGCTCCCCAAAACTCCTGCAGAATGCTGGCGGGCTGCCTGCCGCAGGGCGACACCTGGAAGAGCAAGTGATTTAAAAACAAGTAAAACAAGCCGCGCTCCCACTGCTCAGAAGCGACTGGTGTCGTCTAAAATAAAAAGGTCTCTGTCTGCAAATCCCGTTTGCTCGACCGGTAATCCACCCCCCGCCCCCAGCCCGGCGTGTCCGCCCGGTACAGCTGTTTTTAATCCCTACTTTTCTCACTTGGCGTCCCGGGCTCGGGCTGACCAGACGCGGAGCCACTGAGCGTCTCCCCCTCCCCCTGCCGGGGTCTGTCCTTCCTCCGCCGTCTCCTCTTTCCCCGCCTGCATCCCCGGGGGCAGAGTGTGGGAAGAACGAATTTCCGCCCGGTTTGTTCGCCACTCGCCGACTTGGGTCCCTTCCGGACGCAGCCTGCGCACCCCGGCTCCTCCCCCGGCTGTTCCACGGAGGCCGCGCTCCGGGTCCGGGACCCAGAGAGAGGAGGCGCGGGCTGCGGGGGCCGAGCCGCCCGCCGGGGCGCAGCAGCCAAGCCGCGCCCCAGCAGCTCTTGGAAGGACTCCCGCCTGCCTGCAGCTGGGGAATCCACTCGGCGGGGAGAATCCGTGCCAGGGAATCCAGCTCTCCGGACTCGGGCTGCAAACAAAAAGCTCGGTTCTTGTTCCCCCCTCCGTCCCACTACGCGCACCCGGAGAGTTTTCTGCAGAGATGCAACAAGTAGCACCCGCCGCTCGCAGAGCGCCCTGACTGCGCTGGACGAAGCAAGCCTGCAGAGACCCGGCCAGACACCGGACAAAGGGCGGAGGAGGGGTTGGACCGCGCAGCGGAGTCCCTAACGAGGCCATTTAGTGACTCTGGCCAGGCCAAGGGGAATGCAGAGACACAGAGCCGGCGGGCCAAGAGGACGATCCGGCAGCTGCACGCAGGGCGGGCGGCAATGGAGGCTGCCCGCGCCGTGCGCTTCCTGCTCGTGGTGTGCGGCTGCCTCGCGCTGCCGCCCTGGGCCCAGCCCGTGTGCCCGGAGCGCTGCGACTGCCAGCACCCCCAGCACCTCCTGTGCACCAACAGGGGGCTCCGCGCCGTGCCCAAGACCAGCTCACTGCCGAGCCCGCAGGACGTGCTCACCTACAGCCTAGGCGGCAACTTCATAACCAACATCACGGCCTTCGACTTCCACCGCCTGGGGCAGCTCAGACGGCTGGACCTGCAGTACAACCAGATCCGCTCTCTACACCCCAAGACGTTCGAAAAGCTCTCGCGACTGGAGGAGCTCTACCTGGGGAACAACCTCCTGCAGGCGCTCGCCCCGGGCACACTGGCCCCGCTGCGCAAACTGCGCATCCTCTACGCCAACGGGAACGAGATCAGCCGCCTGAGTCGAGGCTCCTTCGAGGGCCTGGAGAGTCTGGTCAAGCTGCGGCTGGACGGGAACGCCCTGGGGGCGCTGCCGGACGCGGTCTTCGCCCCTTTGGGCAACTTGCTCTACCTACATCTGGAGTCCAACCGGATCCGCTTTCTGGGCAAGAACGCCTTCGCCCAGCTGGGCAAGCTGCGCTTTCTCAACCTCTCAGCCAACGAGCTGCAGCCCTCGCTGCGCCATGCGGCCACCTTCGCCCCGCTGCGCTCCCTCTCCACCCTCATCCTCTCGGCCAACGGCCTGCAGCACCTGGGGCCCCGCGTCTTCCAGCACCTGCCCCGCCTCGGCCTGCTCTCCCTCAGGGGCAACCAGCTCTCGAACCTCGCACCAGAGGCCTTTTGGGGGCTGGGGGCCCTGCGGGAGCTGCGCCTGGAGAGCAATCGGTTGAGCCAGCTGCCCGCGGCGCTGCTGGAACCTCTGCACAGCCTGGAGGCGCTGGACCTGAGCGGCAACGAGCTGTCCGCCCTGCACCCCACTACCTTTGCCCATCTGGGCCGGCTGCGCGAACTCAGCCTACGCGACAACGCGCTCAGCGCCCTCTCGGGGGACATCTTCGCCGCCAGCCCAGCCCTCTACCGGCTGGACCTAGACGGCAACGGCTGGACCTGCGACTGCCGGCTGCGGGGCCTGAAGCGCTGGATGGGCAACTGGCACTCGCAAGGCCGGCTTCTCACCGTCTTTGTGCAGTGCCGCCACCCCCCGGCCCTGCGGGGCAAGTATCTGGATTACCTGGACGACCAGCAACTGCAGAACGGGTCTTGCGCCGATCCCCCTCCCTCGGTTTCCCCGACCGGCGAGGCCAAGCGGCGGCCCTTTCCCACAGCCACGAGGGAGAAGATGGTGCCCCCTGCCGGTGGCCTCGCGAAGGAGCTGCCGCCAGAACCGCAGCTGCAGCCACAGCAGTGGGAGAGATTACCGCCCGGGGCGCCCTGGGATGGGGAGCTCTTGGGCAACCGCAGCGTCTTGAGGCTGAGCCCATGGGGTCCAGGCCTCCAGCAGCCGGGCCCCTCCGCCGCTGCTGTGGCGGGCCCGGCGCCACACCCCCTGGACCTGCAGGAGAAGCCCCAGGGGGGACGTCCGTCGCCGGCCGATCCAGCCCACACGGAGCCCACCCTGCCCGGCACGGCAGCCTCTGCGCCGCCGCCCGCTGGCGACCTCTGGCAGCGCGCCGCGCAGCAGCGCCTCTTCCCGCAGCAGCAGGAGAGCGCCGCCCAGGCCGACGGCGGGGCCGTCCTGCCGCCGCTGGTGTCCGACCCGTGCGACTTCAACAAGCTCATCCTGTGCAACCTGACGGTGGAGGCGGTGGGGGCCGACAGCGCGTCGGTGCGCTGGGCGGTGCGCGAGCACCGCAGCCCCCGGCCGCTGGGCGGCGCGCGCTTCCGCCTGCTCTTCGACCGCTTCGGCCAGCAGCCCAAGTTCCACCGCTTCGTCTACCTGCCCGAGCGCAGCGACTCGGCCACGCTGCGCGAGCTGCGCGGGGACACCCCCTATCTGGTGTGTGTGGAGGGCGTGCTGGGCGGCCGGGTCTGCCCCGTGGCCCCCCGGGACCACTGCGCCGGGCTGGTCACCCTGCCGGAGCCTGGGGGCCGGAGCGGCGTCGACTACCAGCTGCTGACCTTGGCCCTGCTGGCCGTCAACGCGCTGCTCGTGCTGCTGGCCTTGGCGGCCTGGGCGTCGCGCTGGCTGCGCAGGAAGCTGCGGGCCAGGAGAAAGGGCGGGGCCCCCGTCCACGTTCGCCACATGTACTCCACCCGGCGGCCCCTGCGCTCCATGGGCACCGGCGTGTCGGCCGACTTCTCCGGGTTCCAGTCGCACCGGCCGCGCACCACCGTGTGCGCGCTCAGCGAGGCGGACCTCATCGAGTTCCCCTGCGACCGCTTCATGGACAGCGCGGGCAGCGGCGCGGGCGGCAGCCTGAGGCGGGAGGACCATCTCCTGCAGCGATTTGCCGACTAGAGCCAGGGCCTCCAGGGTGCGGAGACCATCTCATTGGCCTTGAGGAGCCCTCTCTCTTTGGCGCCCTTCAACCCACCTCAGGGGAAGATCTCATTCCATCAGACCGTCTCCTTTTGTGCATTTGGCCAGGGAGGCCAAAGAGGCCAGTTCAGCACTGCTCCCCTGCCCCCCAATTCCCAATACTCATAAAATAAATGGGTGGTACTTGGTGGTCAAGACCAAGAGTAGGGGACGCATGGATAGTGGGGTACAGAGGTGGGAAGCCTTCTGTACATGGAGACCGTGGCACAGCTATGAGATTGGTTTTGGTGGCATGGCAGAACAATAGCCTCACCCCCTTGCGGGTAGGAAAGGGGGCTTGTGCCCCCAGCATGGCCAGGTTTGGAGATTTGGAGACTGAATACTTTTTTACTTGTTCAGTGTCAAAAAGAGGTGTTTTGTGTTCTATTTAAGGAAGAAGGAACTTATTACCATGGCAAAGGAGGCTTGGCAGAATTACCACTGGTCTGGAGGTTTGTGCCAAGAAGGATGATGTCAGCAGGTGGTAAAGTTTAACACACTCACCCAGGGGGAACTCCTTGATGGTGGATAACTTGACCTTTAAATAATCAGAGACGCTACTTTTTTTTTTTTCAACAATGTGAAGAGCTCTGACATTTAACAAACTGACAAACTCAAGGACTATTTTAGATGAGCCAGGCGGCTCAACAGTTTTCTTTTTTTTAACGTGAACATCACAAGAAGGTTCGCTGACCTTGGGGTTAACTGAGATGACACACTTTCTCTGGAGAAGGCTGCGTCCAAGACTTCTCCGTCAGGGTTGCTCCTGTGGCTTTTTTAATTTTATTTTTTTAAACCCATAGATGGAAGAGGAAACGTCAATGCCAGACTTGATCAACGAAATGTAATGCGTAGGTCACAGGTGGCCCCGTAGGGAAGGCCAGTGTTCTAGTTTGCTTACCACATCGCTGACAGTGTGTGTGGGTTGGGGAGAATGCCATGTGCTACTTCTCATGTTTTTATCAGTGACATGCAATTGATTGTGTCCTACTGGCCTTGAGTTGCACAGTTTAGTGTTAAAGGACATTTCCTACTAGGGGAGCAAAAGGTGATTGTGTATGTTTGGTCACATTAATGTCTTACTCTATAGGAAATAGTAGAAGGGAAGAAATTATTGGGAAAATGTGAAAAAATGGACATCGGTGGTGGTTTTTCTACGAAAACCAGAAGATTGTTACGAGTACTTAAACCTCACTGTGAAATAATTCTTTTTGCAAGTTAGTCCCTCCATGACCCTGTGTTTTACTGTGTTATTAAATCTTATCTTGTAGTTGATAATTGCAGTCTTTCTTTTCCATGCTTTTGTGTTAAACTTAGGGTTAGGTTCCTTTATTTGCTCTGTTGTTTTCAACTGTTCGAGATACTTTCGTTCCCTGATATTTATGAAGGACATGTTTATCACTACATGTAGTGCTTCGGTTTACATGAATGATTGCGTGTGTGGCCTACAAGTGTCGTCACTAAGAAGGTGTGCCTGGTTACATTCACTGTGGTTATGGTTCTTGGGCAGTGGGGTGTTGTGGAGGCCACAACATTGGTGCTAAGGCTAACAGTGCATCCTCTGTTGAGGGCCTTAAGCCCCTGAGGGTCCTAATGACTCAGGGAATCGATCACAGTCCAGGGGTCCTTCACCTCCCTGCCCCTCTCCATTCCTTTTATGTGTGGCCTCCGCCAAGCCAGGCCTGCCCTTGTCCCCACCGCTGAGCAGAGACCCAGGGATCTAAATGAACTGATCTTTGTTTATGTTCAGATGAATCAATGTCCAGACCACTTAAAGTACAGCTGCTTTCCTGGCAGTCTTATCTGTGGGGCCAAAACTTAATAAACCACAGGAAATAGACTGTCATTCTGAGTTTGCTGCCAGAGCTTGTTTCCGACTCTGAGCTTGCTGGCACCGGGAAGAGGTGCAGTTGTTGGCTTTTCCTGGCAACCCCTGGGCTGTCCTGCACCTTTTCTGCTCCCGGCTTTGTTCATTCATCGAGCAGTTGCATCTCTTAGCTGCTGCTTTGGCACAGCTGTGTAGTGCTGATTCCCATGGAAAGTATGCAAAGGACCTCTTGTTTTCTGACGACCCACCCGGTCAACAGCAGAACGTCACTGAACATGCTTAATGCCTGGATCTATGTACAGGCAGTTTCACTGAAGGTCTTTCAGTGGGAAATGAATAAATGCTATCCATTGTTATGTTCAGTTACGTCAATAAACCCACTTACTGATAGAGATGTTTTATTGTTGGAGTTTCCAGTATTTTATACACCTGCCTACTGTTATACTGCATTTTTCTATAGCAGTTTTCATCATTGAAAATGAACACAGGCATGAAGTCTTTCTGTCCTCTTTCAGTGTGTTCTTTTTTTCACTTCCATTTTCACAGTAGAGTATGGATGTTTATTTTTAAGAAATGGTTGTGTGACTTGATGCCCCAAGAAAGGATGAGATGGCTCTAAGAGCAGGTGGCCAGCCGTGGTGTGAAAATGCTATTAAGATCCCGTGACAGCAGGATGATTGGGTCTCAGCAGGCACCAGCTGTTTAAAGGGAACTGAATTAAAAACCAAGCCCTTTGACTCGCATGGTCAATAATAAGAAAGAATTCTCTCGAACTGGGGGGTCATTTTTGCCATTACAAAGTTTATGAAAAGAGAAAACTTGTAAAGGGGAAAGAATCAATTGTGTATGTGGTAGGAGTGTTCAATGAGGGATCCATCGAAGCAGTGGAATTTGGGGGGACCCTCAGCTTATCCAATAAGATTATTGCTTTCATGAGACTGATCGGTTTTTGATGCTGCCAGGTAACAATTAGGATGTGATCAGAACACTGTCATTCATTTGCCAGGCACTGGGTTTTCACCACAAGTACAGCAATAGGGGCAGCGACTGTATTTTAAGAAACCATTAAAATAGACACTGGACGGCCTGGTACTTGTAGTTAACCCCTACTGCATCTGCTTCTGAGACTTGGAGATGAGTGACAATGGAGTAATCTAATGCCAGAAATGTATCCAAAATTCCAGACCCAGAACCAAAACGGAATCCTACCCAGTCTCGTACCTTCGCCATCCAGGAGAAGTATGGCATCATTCAAGCTCAGAATAATTTTAAGGAAGTGATGAAAGGCTCTGAGTCCTCTGGGATTGTATTCATTCCATGCATTGATCTCCTTGTGCCTCAGCTTCCACATCAGTTGAAATGGGAGGCCTACACGTCTGACTGCACCATGCTAAGGCGAGAAGTCAGAGTACACGGTGTTTGCCAGCACCGGTTACACCGCAGGTGTGTTGTTAGTAGCAGGAATCTCCTGTGCACAGGACAACAGGTGGCATGATACATTGCGGAAATCTCATGGACAAAACATTTATGCTCAAGCTCTAACCCATCAGAAAATTCAGATCATGAGATTACAACAACCCTTCCTCTCTTGCTCTGGTTGGTTGGGTCTCTCCTAAAATTGAGTGTAAAAGGATAGCTCTCGACGTACTTTCTCATTACTTAACAAATGTGAATTCATTAGTATTTGACCAAACTCCTCTATGTTTATGAAACTCATGGTATACACTAATCCACCCTTGAGGCTGGAACTAAGGGCTGGGTAAATGGTCTTGCTTGTACAGCCTCCAGCCCATTTCCATTAACTTAGTGATAGCATCTCCAAGTCTGCTTTTACTCTTAGTTTACTTAAAGGGATACTTTGCACGAACAATTCTTTTATCCCCCAGGGATTTCAAGCCACTACATCTTTCTCCATCAGGTGACGAACAGCATTCTTTTCATTTTGCTTGGGAGACAGGTATTTGGAGATTATATCTACATTAATGACTGAAATAGGGGGAAGCATAGCTTCTAATACCTGGCTGCTTTCTTGGGGAAAAGTACCTAAATATCCCAGTGCATCTGTGTGATAGATTTTAAGCTACAGGTGGTGTGATTCTTTATCAACACGAGCTTTATAATTTGGCTGTGAGCTGGTATCAGAAGCTGGGTGGAAATAAATTATCATACACATGCGGGAGGTAACCAATCGATGTGTTTCTCTCACATTGATGTTTCTGTCTCTCCCCCTCCTTTCCAGTCTCTAAAAATCAATGGAAAAATATCCTTGGGTGAGGGTTAACAACAACAACAAAGAGAATAATGAGTGATACCAACAAGATTTAAGGAAGAGCACCTCAGTAGAATTAAGCACAAACAAAACCAAAAAGCTCTGTGTGTGTGTGTGTGTGTGTCTTACATAGTAAGCCTTGAAATCAGGTCGTGTGAATCATCCAAATTTTCTTTGTCAAAGATGATTTTGGCTATTTCACTTTTTTGATTTTCCATTTACATTTTAAAGTCAGCTTGTTATTGCTCCCAAAAATTGCCTGGTGGGATTTTGATTTGTATAGCATTTAACTCTATAGACCAATTGGGAGTATTCAGGAGTATTGGCAAACCCAGTATAGCTCCTTGTCACAGAGAAAATATGAACTGACAACATGGAACATGTTATGAAGGGAGAGGCTATATCTGAAATTCTTTTTTAAAAAAATATATTTTATTGACTTTTTTACAGAGAGGAAGGGAGAGGGATAGAGAGTTAGAAACATCGATGAGAGAGAAACATCGACCAGCCGCCTCCTGCACACCTCCTACTGGGGATGTGCCCGCAACCAAGGTACATGCCCTTGACCGGAATCGAACCTGGGACCTTTCAGTCCATAGGCTGATGCTCTATCCACTGAGCCAAACCGGTTTGGCTATATCTGAGATTCTTATCTTGGTTTTATATATGTAGTATTCCATGTAGGTAAAAACTTGAGGTATGTATTACATAAAGTGAATAGGGCCTTTAATTTATTTAGTGTAACAGACTCTTATAAGCATGTGTTTTGTGTCAGGCACTATTTTAAGAGCTTTCCCTACACTAATTTTTTAAGATATATTTTATTGATTTTTTACAGAGAGGAAAGGAGAGTTATAGAGAGTTAGAAACATCAATGAGAGAGAAACATTGATCAGCTGCCTCCTGCACACCTCCTACTGGGGATATGCCTGCAACCAAGGTACATGCCCTTGACCGGAATCGAACCTGGGACCTTTCAGTCCGCAGGCCGACGCTCTATCCACTGAGCCAAACTGGTTAGGGTTCCCTACACTAATTTATTCATTCCTCATAATAACCCTCTGAGGAGGTATGTTACTACCCTCATATCAGAGATGAGGAAACTGAGGCACGGAGTGGGGAGGTGGTGGAGTCTGAATTTGAAACCAGGCTGGCTGGCCCCAGGGTCCTTGCTGTCAACTCTGACACTTGCCACCTTGTGAGTACACGTAACAACTGGTAAACACCAGGGGATTGTTCTCACGATTCATCATGAACACTGCCCTCCCCATACCCTTTCCAATACTACACTTTAAAAATCACCTCTAATAGTTTGGCCTTTATTTTCTGCCTGTTTTTCTTAAGCTGTGTCAGGGCAGTACCCAGGGATACATCATTCATCCTTAAGTATTTAATGAGAATATGTAGTCCATCTCATGGCCATGCACGCTTCCCTCTGTCCCAACATGGATGGGTCAGTGTTGCATGCTGCAGGGTTAGTCCTTTCCCCTGGTCTGGGAGCTCCCTGGGGACAGGAATCTGCTCTTGTATTTCTCTTTGTGCCCACACTGGGCCCTGTTGGCTTAGAGTTCCTGCTACCTGCTTGTTGATGAGTGCTATGAGGCAGCTGCCCGCCCTCTTCCCACTGAGACATACGCACCAGACACTGTTGACAGAAGTGATACACACTTGTGTGTTGGGCCAGGTCATTTAATAGCTGCACTTCCATCCAAACAACATTTATATAGCAACTAGAGGCCCAGTGCATGAAATCTGTGCATGGGTAGGTTCCCTAGGCCTGGCCCGCAATTAGGGCTGATCTGTGGGGCAACTGGCAGGGTGATGGGGGGGGGGGAGGGGCACCCGCTGGCACCTGCCTTGGCTGGCCTGGGGCCTGCAGGCTGGGGGAAGCTCCTGCATTGAGCATCTACCCCCTGGTGATCAGTGCACGTCGTAGTGACCAGTTGTTCCTCCGGTCATTCCACCATTCAGTCTATTTGCATATTAGGGTTTTATTATATAGGACTAGAGGCCCGGTGCACAAAAATTTGTGCACTCGGGGGGGGGGGGGGTCCCTCAGCCCGGCCTGTGCCCTCTCGAAGTCTGGGACCCCTCGGGAGATAGCGACCTGCTGGCTTAGGCCTGCTCCCGGGTGGCAGAGGGCAGGCCTAATCCCTAGGTGCAGCCCCTGGTCGGGCTCAGAGCATGGCCGATTGGGGAGTTGGGGCCCCGCCCCCTGTCATGCACAGAGCAGGGTGGATTGGGAGGTTGCGATGCCACCCTCAGTCACGCTCAGGGTAGGGCCAATTGGGGGGTTGGGGCACCGCCCCCTGTCACACTCAAGGCAGGGTCGATGGCGAGGTTGCAGTGCCACCCCCTGTCACGCACAGAGCAGGGCCAATCAGGGGGTTGGGGAGCTCCCCCCTGTCACTCACAGAGCAGGGCCGATAGGGGAGTTGGGGCACCGCCCTCTGTCACGCACAGAGCAGGGCCCATCAGGGAGTTGGGGCCCCACCCTCTATCACCCACAGAGCAGGGCCAATCAGAGGGTTGGGGCGTCGCCACTGTCACACTCAGGGCAGGGCTGATGGGGAGGTTATGGCTACCCCATCACACACAGAGCAGGGCCCGTGAGGGGGGGGTGTTGGGGCGCCGCCCTCTATCACCCACAGAGCAGGGTCGATCAGGGGGTTGGGGCGCCGCCACTCTCACACTCAGGGCAGGGCCGATGGGGAGGTTATGGCTCTTCCCCGTCACACACAGAGCAGGACCTGTAGGGTGGGGGGGTTGGGGCCCCACACCCTGTCACACACAGAGCTGCAGGGCGATCAGGGGGTTGGGGAGCTCCCCCCTATCAGGCACAGAGCAGGGCCGATTAGGGGGTTGGGGCGCCTTCCCCTGTCAGGAACAGAGCAGGGCAGATAGGGAGGTTGTGGCCCCGCCCCCTGTCACACACAGAGCTGCAGGGCGATCAGGGGGTTTGGGCGCTGCCCCCTGTCACGCTGATCCCGGTGCCGGGAGGCCTCACGGCTCCACTGATCCTGGTGCTGGGAGGCATATTACCCTTTTACTATATAGGATAGAGGCCTGGTGCACGTGTGGGGGCCGGCTGGTTTGCCCTGAAGGG